TGTCGATTAGAGGCAGGTCCTGTCAGACCAACCTGGTGGCCTTCTATGACCACGTCACAAAATCCTTAGACACAGGTGTCACAGTGGACGTAGTCTTTCTGGATTTTAGGAAGGCCTTTGACACTGTCTCTCACCCCATTCTCGTTAAAAAATTTGGAGATTGTGGTGTCAATGCCTACACAGTCAGACGGGTTACTAATTGGCTAGAGGGCCGCACCCAGAGAATGAGGGTGGATGGGTCATTTTCGACCTGGAGGGATGTGGGCAGTGGGGTCCCCAGGACTCAGTCCTCGGGCCCGCACTGTTCAACGTCTTCATCGGTGACTTGGACAAGGGGGTGAAAAGCACCTTGTCCAGATTCACAGATGACACTAAGATGTGCAGAGAAGTGGGCATGCTAGAAGAGAGGAACAGGCTGCAATTGGATCTGGACAGGTTACAGGGGTGGGCGGATGAGAACAGGATGGGTTTCAACACTGACAAGTGCAAGGTGCTGCACCTGGGGGGGAAGAACCAGCAGCATACCTACAGGCTGGGGAACTCCCTTCTCGTCAGCACAGAAAAGGATTTTGGAGTCATTATCGATTTACAAGATGAACGTGAGTCACCAATGTGGGGATGCAGTCAGGAAGGCTAACAGCACCTTGTCATGCATCCACAGATGCATCACGAGCAGGTCCAAGGAGGTGATCCTCCCCCTCTATGTGACACTGGTCAGGCCGCAGTTGGAGTACTGCGTCCAGTTCTGGGTGCTGCACTTCAGGAGGGATGTGGACAACATGGAGAGGGTCCAGAGGAGGGCCACCTGCATGATCGAGGGACAGCAGGACAGGCCCTATGAGGAGAGGCGACGGGACCTGAACCTGTTCAGCCTCCACAAGAGACGGCTGAGCGGGGATCTGGTGGCCGTCTACGAACTGGTCAAGGGGGATGGGAGAGGCCCTGTTCCCCCGAGCACTACAAGGAGTAACAAGGAATAGCGGCCATAAATTGACAGAGAATAGATTCAGGCTAGACATCAGGAGGCACTACTTCACTGTCAGGGTGGCTAGGATCTGGAACCAACTTCCAAGGGAAGTGGTGCTAGCTCCTACCCTGGGAGTCTTTAAAAGGAAGCGAGATAGACACCTTGCCGGGGTCATTTGACCCCAGCATCCTTCCCTGCCCACAGCAGGGGGTCAGACTTGACGATCTGCTCATGTCCCTTCCAACCCCACCAACTATGAAACAGAGCATATACTGACAGAAGAGGCTTTATTACCAGAGTGCCTACACAATGTCCCTGGACAACTTAAGTAAAAGCTGGTAAAGGCCTCTTCTGGAAGCATCCCTGTGTCCTCACCAGGGATTATGCCTATGATCATTTAGCATCCCCAGCCAATATAGCTACACTAGCAAAAATGTGACCTGACCTCAGTCTGAAAGAGGTGAATGGAGCAGTAGTTTCCATAAGTGCTGAGTGTTGAGACCCAGAGGCCTTCAGACCTGGGTTTGCCCTTTGTGCTCAGCTCAAGCTGCATGCTTAGCTTGAATTGTGGTCAAGACCTGCACCCAGTAAAAGGAGCAGCTGGAAAAATACTGTCCCTCACCTAAAACGAATCAGGAAGTTGGCTAACTAAATTGAATAAATATAACCTGGGCAAAAGAGGAACAGTCAGAGCAAAACCTACCCCCACCTAAGAATGAAAAAACTGCCTCAGAATGGAAACTTCCAGTTAAAGGTAACCATATCTGGCAAACAGAAACAAGATTATTAATAGGCATTAGGAGGAAGGCTTAATCTTATGTATTAAGAAATGCAAGCTATATGGTATATAACGAGCAGTGAGAGAGTGTACCCTTCTGAACACTCCTGAAGAAAGCCTGAAGAGATCTTGTCACTGATCCAAGAGCCTGTCTTGATATCAGACGTGGGAGCCAAGAGCCCCGGACAAGACTTCATGGCCTGATCAATCAGTAAGTTGCGTTTGCCACTTTTTGGGGTGGTAAGCATCTGTTTTGACTAGCTACAAAGCTAAAATGTTTAAACTGCTACATCAGTTTGAATTAGAAGTGTATCTGTTAGGGTTCAATAAACTTGCTTTTAGTTTAGAACAACCATGTCTTACTCTCCTTGCCTGGTATAAGACCCATTATAGCGTCATAGGGACTTTAACTGTATGACTTCAATCCCGATGAAAAACCAAATGGAGTTCACAGGAAGTCCCAAATAAACATCTTGTGATAGATCCAATGCAGAAGGTCCCTGGCTTTGATCTCTCTTGACACTCATGGGCAACTCTAAACCATATCTACACAAACCATGGGAGATGCAGATACTTGATGCACAAATGGAAAATTAAAAACTCTCCAGTGTGCAACTGTGGTCACCCAGAACAGACCATGGAACATATAACAGCTCAATGCCCAATCTACAGATATGAAGGAGGTATCATAGAGCGACACTCTACTTCTCCTGACACAATTGTCTGGCTCAGTCACCTAAATGTAAAATTATAGTTGCTGTTCTGTATCTACATGAGCTATACAAAAGAAGACTAGAATCATAGAAAATTAGGGTTGGAAGGTATGTCTGAAACCCCCTACTCAAAGCAGGACCATTTCAGCCAAGGCTTTGTCTATCTGGGTCTTAAAAACCCCTGAATATGGAGATCCCACAGCCTCTCTGGGTAACCTGTTCCAGTGCTTTACTGGAGATGAGATGAGCACATTCAGCATGTGTTTTGCTGCTGGAATGTGCAGATGTTTGCACCATAAAACAGTTACCACTGCTCCTTGTTCTGTCATCTGCTGCCACTAGAGATTTAGACCCAGTCTAGTCTAGCTCCATCTTCTTCGTAACCACCTTTCAAGGAGTTGGAGACTACTATTAATTAATTCCCCCCTCAGTCTTCTCTTCTCCAGGCTAAATAAGCCCAGTTCCCTCAGCCTCTCCTTAGAAGCCATATGCCCCGCTAATTATTTTCACTGCCCTCTGCTAGGCTCTCTCCAATTTGTCCACATCCTTTCTGAAGTGGGGTGGGGGGAATCATGGGGGAATCATGAAAGTAAATACCTTAATGGTGCTGTAAGGTTGTTTGCGAGAGGGCTCTGGAAACAACTTTCTATACTGGTTAGCTGGGGAATAGAAATCCAGAGAGGCCTAATAAATAACAAGCTGTTTTTGCCTTAGGTGAGTTCATTACCAAAAAAAATTACTTTTGGTACTGAAAGGCAATTATGAAATCACTAAAACCTTTTTTGTGATTGGGTCTCAGGGATATTTTCAACTTACACAAGGACCAATGGAAAGGGAGTGCATCACTGAAAACCCCTATTCTTTCCATAGGTTGCTTCCCCTCATTTTATTACATGAATATTTTTCTCACTTGCTGCAGTTACTTATGGGCACCACATTTCACTTTTTTTATTTAGTACTTTGAATTGCATTCACAGCACTGGATGAGCAGCAAATATTTCAAATAATCCAGAATCAGTTTACAACTATAACAAGTTACACACACAGATGACCAAACCTGTACTTAGCAAGCATCCCATTGTTTTTTGTAATCTGATTAGCTGAAAAACTGAAAAAAATATAACAATTTAAATTAATATTCCCTAGAATAGTGAAGGTAGTAACTCCTTTCCATCAAATTTAGATTACTTGTGTGTGCATTGATAGATTTTTTTCCCCTGCTTGGTGTCCTCAGTATCCAGAAAGTGTCATACACAAGCAAAAAAAAAAGTCTTAGAAATACATGACAACGATATGACACTTTTCCTAAAGGATTAATGTACAAGGGCCTTTGACAAATAGATCTAGGTCATACATTTTTGGGCTGAAAGCAATATCCTGTTCTTTCACATGTAGGAATAGAATGAAGGTAAGTGATTTTTATAACCAAATTTGATGTGATGAAAATGCTGAACTGACAGGTGTTGGGTCTGAATGTTAATATGAAAAGAGAAACAAAAAAAGAGTCAGGAGTGGGGCTTGGAAGTTGTTTGTATGGGGGGGTGTTAATATAAAAATGAACTGGAGTCTGAGTTTCAGCTTCTGAGGAAAAAGAAAAAAAATGGGGAACATTAAAAATTAAATAAATTCATCACAAATAATTTCTCAGATCACTCTAGGAAAAAAATGCTGGCCAGATAGCCTCAAGCTTCTTAATTATACCTTGAAATTTAGTCTCCAAAGAAGGCATGGATGACCATGCTAGACTTTTTTGTCTGCCATTCTCTCTCTGTTTTACGGTCAATATATCTTTATGTCAATGTGTGTGACCACCAGTCTTGGCATCCATCATATTATGTAAGCAGTGCAGGGAGCGAGTAAGAGCCTGGGACCTGCTAACCTCCAAAATCATAGAATAATTCACATCTGGATCCAGCCCCACAATCTGAATTTGCAAGTGATGAATGCAGCATGTTTTGGCAGAGGGGCAACTAAGGGAAGACTTGGAAGAGCAGGGTTCTGGTCCCAGCTCAGCCAGTGACCTGATGTATATATTTGATTGAGTCGCTCCCTCTCTTTCCCCTTGCAGTCTTGTCAGTCTAGACAGCAAGCCCTTTGGAAAAGGGGACAGACACTCATGTGTGTGTTTTTCAGCTGACATACTGGGGTCCTGATCTTAGGTAGTAAAAGGAAGAATAGCCTTAAAGGCAGTGTGATCCTCAGATAAATCACTTCATGTACCTTGTGCCTCAGTTCCCTGCCAGTGAAATGGAGAGAGGACCTCCTGATCTTAATGGGGTGTTGTGAAGCTAAGACTCACTGTGGAGTGAGACCTACACAGGTACTTGTAAAGGGCCATAACAGTGTCTACCTCGATAAGGGCTGTTGCCTCTTTTGGTGTAAATCTGTTACAGTTTGCATGCTTAAATGGCACATACCCAGAAATATAAGTGGTCTTCCTGGCACTTAGGCACAGTATGCAATTCTGTTACCCCTGTAGCATGAACATGTAAGGGTATGCATGTGAACTGAGCATGTTAAGTTAGCCATGCACTGGCCAGGCAGCTACGCAACTATCTATATGCAGAGAGTGGTAAAAGCCCCACCCCCCCCCCCCCCCAAAACACAAAAAGAAGCCCATTCAGCTCCAAGAGATAAGCGGTCAATGTATGTGCTCAGTAGCTGGGGGACCTGTGCTCTGTACCCCATCCATCAGAGGAGGTCTGAACTGGCCATTCTTCAGTATCCCAGCCCAATGCTCTACCAACCACAGCACAGCACAACACATCACCCAGTCCCCTTTCCATCCTTTGTCTTTTATTTGAGCCACTGCCTTTTGTAACTTAATAGTCACTGGAAAAAAAGGATGGAAAGCAGTGGAAAAGCTTCATTCCACTTCATTGAAAGCAAGCTTCCATGCCAGCACATAGCGGCTGCTCCCTTTTAGGAGAAAGGCCATCTCACTGAGCCACACACCATCTGGCTTGCTGCTTTCCCTATAGCCCCACATCTCTCTCAGCTGTTCAGGAAGTCAGCTTCAAGAGAAACCCAGGAGAAGTAACTAGGTTCTGCTTAACTTGTGGTCTGGTTCTGAGCACACTGTGCTGGGAAGTCAGAGAAATGCAGTTTCAAAACTTTTCTGCATGAAGAGGACCTAGATACTGCATCCCCTGCTTCTTGAGCAAGTGCTACTAGAGGTCAAATGTGGGAGGGCCCTTTTTCTCTCTTCCCTGCCAAGGATTTGTGTCCAGCTACAAATTCATGACTTACACACCCGGGGCAGGATTTGGGTGTAGCCACATACCTGTTTGGCCTCCTGTGCATTCTCAGTTTACATATGTGTCCACACTGCACAAGCAATGCAGAGTAGAGGGGCAATTAGGAAGGCCATTCACACAGCTAGCAAAGAGACGTTTAGGTATCAAAGGGTAACAGAACTCCACACTTTGTGTTTTATCTCTTTCAGTGTTATTGTCTCTCCCCCAACTCCCTCTCATTCTCAGGTGAAACACGATGCGGAATCTCTCTGGGGGAACAGCACCTCGGTGTCGGAGTTCATCCTGCTGGGGTTCTCCAGCCAGCCCAAGACCCAGCTGCTGCTCTTTCTGCTCTTCCTAACCATCTACCTGGTGACTCTCTTTGGGAACAGCCTCCTCATCACCCTTGTTGGGTCTGACTCCCGTCTCCACACACCCATGTACTTCTTCCTGGCCAACCTCTCCTTCCTAGATATCAGCTACACCACCACCACTGTACCCCAGATGCTGGTCCACCTCCTCTCCACAAAGAAGAGCATTTCCTATGGCTGCTGTGTTGCCCAGATGTACATCTTCCTCTCTCTGGGGATAACTGAGTGTATCCTCTATGCTGTAATGGCCTACGACCGGTATGTGGCTATTTGCCACCCTTTGCACTATACCATCATCATGAACGGGTCAGTCTGTGTCAAGATGGCCACAAGCTCCTGGGCATGCGGCTTCTTCTTTGCCATGATGCACACAGGCTTCACCATGCACCTGCCCTACTGCGGCCCAAATGAAATCAATCACTTCTTTTGTGAGGTGCCAGCCATTTTGGAGCTGGCCTGTGCAGACATACAGGTCAATGAACTGGTAGATTTTGTATTAGGCGTGATACTACTCATGACCCCACTCTCTTTGATCCTGATCTCCTATGCATTCATCCTAGCAGCCATCCTGAGGATAAGCTCAGCTGAGGGGAAGATCAAAGCATTCTCCACCTGCACCTCACACATCACCGTTGTCACTCTCTTCTACGGTGCTGCCATGTTCATGTACATGCGCCCAGCCTCCAGCTACTCACCTGAGCGGGACAAAAAGTTCTCCCTCTTTTACAATGTGGTGTCTGCCCTCCTGAATCCTCTTATCTACAGCCTGAGGAACAAGGAGGTCAAAGGAGCCGTACTCAAAATGATGGGTAGGACTGACCATTAAATTAAGGGTTGAGCGGAGGAGTGACTGACTTGTTGTTTACAGATCTTGGAATGTGGTCCTAGTTCTAGGAGAGTAAAGCTCAGAGGGTTCATCTACCCATTCATTAACGCACCTTTGCTGTTGCACATTAAGTTTAGTACCTCTAATGAGGTACTAAAGGTATAGTAGATGCGCTAATGCGGAGTAGCAAAAGTGAACAGTTTTGTCGTGACGTGCTAATGCTCAGTAGAACAGTCCACTGCATATTAAGGCATCTCATGTAGACACACCCAGAGATGATATTCAGGTAAAGTTACAACCTGTGGATTTTATCTCTTGCTGTCAGGCGGGAGGTAGCATCTAGTGGGTCATCAGAAAAGACTGGCAGATTAGGATCTTTGCATTATCTTGTTAGCTCTGGGAAGGAAGTCATGTCTAGTGACATAAAGTAAGCTTTGGAGGTCAGCACTCCTGATTTTCGCCTGGAACTGTGGTTGCGTGACCTAATTAAGCTGGTGTAGATAAGCTGTTGTTTAACAGTAGGGAGTCAGTGCCAAGACATTTCTCATTTATATTAGCTTGTAAAGCAGGTTTAAACTAAAAGAATGGTACCCACCAAATTGAACAAGTTTAAATAAATGTTTATTTAAATGAATGCATTACTGGTGTGTTGTTCAGACCTAAGTTTCTATTAAGCTCTCAAAATAGACCTGGTGCATAAACCTCTTCCTAGTCCTTTGCTCAGGTGTGAATTTCAGCCCAAGACACAAGAAAGCAGTGCCTTTTTTTTTTTTTTTTTTTTTTTGGGGGGGGGGGGGGGAGAAGGGGGGTTGCAGGACAGGGCAGATAAAAGCAGGGGGAGAGACAGTAGAACTAGACTACAGATAAGACAAGTATTCATTACCACTATAGATCAAGTTTATATTTATTGATTTGTACTCTATGGGCATGTCCAGATGAGCACACATGTGCAGTCTGCAGCACCTCAAAGCTGCTTAAAGTGCCACAAACCGCATGCAGCACATGTGCAACCGTTCACCGCACTGCAAATTTGCAGCGTGACACCAAAATTTTATACTGGGATCTCCCAGTATCAACACACACGCACAAAAGTGGTGCAGCGCACACTCCAGGAGTGTGCGTCGGATCAACTAGAGGCTGGGGCCTCCAAGGAGGCACTCTGGCTGCCAACTAGAATATCTCCCCTCCTTTAGTTTCACTCCAGCTCCTCCAGACCTGGCAGGATTGGGGAAACATCAGCTTCCCTGAAGCAGGGCATTTTGCCCCAGAAAGCCCATGCGCAGGGGTATATGCAGTGGCAAAAAGTAGAGTCACAAATTCATGCTGCTTTTTTGCCACTGCAAGCACACAGCCCTGCACATGGTGATGTGCTCTATTTGTTTAAAATATAGAACTTGTCTGGTCCAATATATATTTCCAATATTGTTAGGCTTGGCAGGATTCGATTTTTATTGGTAAACATCAGTAAACATTGATTTCACCTCACGCTTACAAACCAATGAAAAAATATGTTCATCGGTAATAATCAAAATTTATAGAAAGGAGATGTAAGAAAAATAATGGCTGATGGAGTGTGTGATGACATAGAGAGCACTCCTACAGAACCGTGCTGACTGTAGTTTGGACTTCAGCTCCCAGAAACCCCAGGGGACAGAAAACAAAGGAAGAAGAAGTGACAATGTGGAAAAGGGACTGACCATTGAGCAGAGCCAAGACTGATGGCAGCTCTGCTGGTGAGCTGGCAGCAACCCTACATTAATGACATTTGTCTCAGTGGGTGGTTAAACTGCACTGTCATAAAAAAAAATTGTCTGCCCCCCCCACCCCGTGTCATGCAATCCTGAAAATTTGAATCAATAAAAATCTAAACAAATGCTTAAAAATAACATTGATATTATCTATCAAAATTATAAAAAAAAAAAAAAATTAATTCTGCCAAGCCTAAATATAATTAATTAGCATTATAACCAAACTTTAATAGAGCATATTTCATCTCTATCTGTTAAAGCAGGCAAGTATTATCACTCCCTCCCTTCTAAAGATCTTCTTGCAAGCATAATTCCCCCTTTCTTTCCCATATCATCCTCAGGCCATCTGGCCACATGCCCCAATCACGTCAATCTGTTTTTCTCTACTGATGCCATCTTTGCCTGCTGCCACACCTCTTCATTTTTATATGATCTTTCTTGCTAACCCCACAAATCCATCTCATCCATCCCTCTTTTATTTTTTCCTTATCTATCTCTCCATTTTTTTGTACAATGGACTGTGTAGCTGGACTTCCACACAGAGGGTATGCGCGAGTCAGCCAGTGTCACAAGTGCTTTTGCAGTTTCCTGAAAATACATGTGACATACTCCATTCTCTCTACCCCCCACCCCCACTGTTTCTCTCTCACTTGCAGCCTCCAATATATAAGGTCCAGGAAGTTCTGATTCAGAGGCCTTTTAGCCCATTATAGTGTAGGCATAGTTTAGGTTATTTTTGCCCAGGTGCATCACTTTACACTCATCTGCTTTGAGTTTCATTTACCATTTAGCTGCCCATTTGCTCAATGTTGCCAGATCCTTCTACAGTTCTTAACAATCCACCTTGGTCTTTACTTAGAATAATTTTGTCATTTGCAAATTTGGTTACCTCACTATTCACACTCTTTTCCAGATCATCTGTATCGGGGTGGGAAAATACAGCCCATGGGCTGCATCCAGCCCACCAGGCTATTCTATCTGGCCCACAGGGCCTCTAAAATATTTAGAAAATTAATATTTATCTGACCCTGGCTGCCTGTCAAAGATGACAAGGCACCAGGAACAGAAGGGGAGCCAGTGGCAGGACCCAGCAGCTGCAGCAGCAAGACCCGCCCTGCCCCACCCCTGCCTAGCAGAGGCTTCTGGCCTGGGGCTGTTCCTGCCTCCCTCTGCTGGAGAAGGAAATTCAGATAAGGGGGGGGAAGGCAAGTGAGGACCACAGGTGATCGCCCCAGTCCTCAGGGCCAAGCCAGGCTGGGCCAGCTCCTGCTGAGTCCTGCAGTCCTGGTGCTGCAGCTGGGAACCACGTGGTGCTGGAGTGGCGGTTGCAGCAGGCAGGAAAGCAGGGAAATGGTGGTGACAGGTGGCAGGGGTGGGGCTCATGGGAGTGCAGCAACAGCTGGGCAGGAGCACAGGGCCTGTGCCAGTGCCCCAGGGCCAGGGCTGGCAGGGGCCCATAGCAGGGCAGCAGGAGTGCAGGGCCCAGACTGGCAGGGGCTCTATGGAGCCGAGCCAGCTCCCCACTTTCCCTGCTGGCACAACCCAGCTCAGCTCCATAGAGCCCCTGCTGGCCCAGGCCCCACGGTCTCGCCCCCCCACTCTGGGCCCTCACCAGTGCTGGGGCTGGTGCACTGGCATGGGCCCTGCACTCCTGCCCAGCTGTCACTGCCACTCACCCCCTCACCTCACCTGCTGCTGCCATTTCCCCTCTTTCCTGGCCACCACCACTCCTCTCCACCTGCTGCTTCAGCACCATGTGGTTCCCAGCTGGGACCACAGGACTCAGCAGGAGCCAGCCTGGCCCCTGCAATTCTGGGCTGGCTCCTGCTGGGTTCTGCGAGGGGGAGTGGCAGCAAGTGGGAGCAGAGGGCCTGCACCAGTGCCCTAGGGCCAAGAGTGGCAGGAGCGTGGAGCCCAGGATTGCAGAAGCGCTGGCAGGGGCTCTGTGGGCAACCCCTCCCCTTCCATACATGCCACAACCCTCCCCAGCCACACACCCCCACACACTCACAGCCCCCCATAAACCCCATACTCACCCATACCCCATGTATCCACACACACTCACATGTTCCCCCACCCCACACACACATGCACCCACACCCCCATGCCTATCCACCCCTCTACAAACCCCACACACACATCCACACCCTCCCCTATACCCCACATACCCACACACCCACAGCCCCCCACAAACCTATACCCACCCCCCATGCCTCTACCCCCACAATATATAAGAGTAAGACTTAATTTTAAGCTATTATACAATCACCTCTATTGTATATTAAACAAACACATGTAAATCAGGACAAAATTATTTTTTGAAATCAAATTAATGCATGTTGTAGTAGATGTTTGATTTTTAGAATATAATTTGGTATTTTTTCTAGTTCTGAGATGGCAAACCCCCCTTGCTGAAAGGAGTATTTCCAGGGGCCAAGGGGTGGGACTTCTGATGGCAAAAGTCAGGGGTTAGGGGGCAGGACTTCTGGTCCCAAGATGCCAACCAGGGAGAGGGGCTACCCTTGCAGCCCTCAACAGCTTGCCAAAAGTCGGTAAGTAGCCCTCCAGCTGAAATAATTGCCTACCCCTGATCTATATGTTAAAACAGCACTGGTCCCAGCACAGATCCTTGGGGGACCCTGCTGTTTACTTCTTTCCATCCTGAAAACTGACCATTTAAACCCATTCTTTGCTTTCTGTCTTTGAGCCAATTTCTAAACCATAAGTGGACATTCCCTATAGTACCATCTGTAATGCCATGACTACCTAATTAATTTAAGATAGGGGCAACTAGATCGCCCCAATCCACCTACTTATCAATAGCCTCAAAGAACTCTAGTAGGTCGGCAAGGCATGGTTTCCCTTTGACAAAGCCATGTTTATGCCTCCCAGCAAGCCAGGTCCATCCATGTGCTGAACAATTCCTTTCTTAATTGTTGTTTCTACCAGGTTTCCAAGAACAGATGTCAGGCTTACTGGCCAGTAGTTCCGTGCCTCCCCTCTACATCCTTTATGCGCATCACATTGGCAACCCTCGAGTCATTTGGTACCAAGGCTACTTTTAATGATAGGTTGCATACTACTACAGTTAGGAGGTCAGCAATTCCCAATCTGAGCTTCTTCAGGACCCTAAAGTAAATGTCATCAGGCCCTAGTAATGTGTTACTGTTCAGTTTATCAATTTCCTCTACAAACTCACCTACTGAAACCTCAATTTGGGTCAGCTCCACTGATTTGTCCCTAGAGAGGAGT